TTTTTGTAAATACACAAATTTCAAGCAACTTCTCAACACGTACAATACAAAAGGATATGTTTATGTTTTTGAATCTTTCTGAATTCAGTGTTTAAAATGCAGGGGGGGGGGCGCTGTCTTGGGTCCCCGCACTGATAAAATGCCACAGGTGGACAGGCCCCGCGAAATGTTAATTAATCTGGCCCTGCAAAACACAACATTGTTGCAACCAGTGTTTCTTTTTTGAATACCCCTGGGGCATATATAAACCAACAAGCACATATATATGCTGGAAATTTGGTGGAAAAGCACCTACAGATATTTTACAATAACAAATGTTTAGATATAAATGAATGATCAAAATTAATAATGAACTTTACACTCTGCATGCCTTTGGAGTCACTGCACTAAAACAATATACACTGTCACTGATTACACTCTACAACTGAAAGTTCAAAATTCAAATGCAATATAAAAGTGGATTCACTCTACAGAAAGCTTTATTAAGGTTGCCTTCCAGTTTAACAAAATGACAAATTTAAAAAGTACAAATATATTTAGTAACAACAAAGACATGTATATATATTTTGTAAAAAGGCTTAGTATTAAAGATGGATAATTGAAAGTTTGAAACCCTCTGGTTGATCAAGGTTAAACATAATTGATAAAACGAACTACTTACTTTACCTTAACAGTATGCTTGAGTAAACTAGAAATTATCGTGTTGTCATGCCACTGTGGCGATAAAATATTATTCCCGCATGGCAACTTTGAACGAACAAAACTGACGATATTTTAAGGCAATCTGGATAATTTTCGTTTTAACAGCATTAACATAACATCTTTTATCCACTGTGGAGCGACCAGTTTGGTAAAACTTCGCAAAGTATCTCACATTTGGCAAAATTCACCTTAGTTCACGTTGTTCGCCATACTGTTCACATTTCTATAGTAATTTGTGTCACAGAAGTTATATCCAGTCTACTATTAATAGATCAGTGAGTCCAGTCCGCGTTTTACCTCTATGGTTTTACTAATCTGAGTCCAGTCCGCGTTTTACTAATCTGAGTCCAGTCCGCGTTTTACTAATCTGAGTCCAGTCCGCGTTTTACTAATCTGAGTCCAGTCCGCGTTTTACTAATCTGAGTCCAGTCCGCGTTTTACTAATCTGAGTCCAGTCCGCGTTTTACCAGTCCAGTCCAGTCCGCGTTTTACCATATGCCTATTATTGTTGCATGCGTAAGTCCTGAGATGTGGTAAATTTATAGGTCTGGTGAGAATTATTTGATCGACATTTGGCGCATAAAAGCGCTTGAATATATTTGGGATTTGGAAATAATTGTAGGTAGAATTCATACAAAAGAAGTGGCAATCCTAGTTGAATTGATACTGCACTACTAGTACTTGAAAAAATCCTTAAATTGTTATTACAACCGACTTAAAGGGGCAATGTCACCGATTTTTGAGGAATTCTGACTCTCTCAAAACTTGTACAAAACTGAGAAAGAACGGCTGTAATTACAAAATAAAGCAATAACAAACACAAAAAGCGTATTACTCTTATGTCATACATAAATCCATTTACGATGTTTATTTTCAGAATTACAGTTCACACTGTAAATAAAATGCATTTTAGTCAAATATGGGTGACATTGCCTCTTTAATTTCGCAAATAATTGTCAGTATAATAGAAATTATTAAATTATAATTTATTATTATTATTTATTATTATTATTATTATTTTCCCATCCGCGTTTTATCCCCCATCCGCATTTTCTCATCCGCGTTTTATCCCCTATCCGCATTTTCCCATCCGCGTTTTATCCCCCATCCGCGTTTTATCCCCCATCCGCATTTTCTCATCCGTATTTTCTCATCCGCATCCGTATCCGCCATCCGCATCCGTATCCGCCCTTTATCCCTACCCTAAACCATTATTTTGTAAATATATACATACCATACCCTGTAAATTCATTTAGATTGCTCTGAAGATGTTGTATTGTAAACAACGGAACGTTAGCTAATTAAAATTTTTACTTTTATTATGTTTGGTTTTAAAGTTATTTGCTGGGCTTTGCATGCTCTTTATTATTAAACTCCGCAAGCAGGGGCGGATCCAGGATTTTTCGTACGTTAGTCAAAGTTTTCGGATGTACAATCTAGTTTTGCGAGCGGCGAATGCGCGAGGCACCTAGGGGGGTCTGTCCCCCAGGGATTTTTATATTTTTAAACCTCCGAAACGCAATTTGCATCACTCTGAAAGCAGCTTCAACAAAAAATTAACTTCATGAAATGGGAGATAATTATAGCAACTATCAGTCTGACTGACTCTCACAACTCGCTCCTTAGGGAAAAGTAAAGGAGGAGTACTTGCAGAAATGTGATAATTGTGGAAGATGTTTCATTTTATCTCATGATAGTACTACACTCATTTTTGTTGCCTAATAGCCTTGTTGAGTCATTGATCACTTGACTAGTAATCACTACAGTGTCATATTACTCAAATAAACATATATCATCTATAAAACCTGACCTTTATCCTTTATACTGCATTAATCAAATGCATTTATATAGGTTATCCTCCATATTAATAGCCTTCTGAGTTCGGACGGTCCTTCAACCGCAGAATTACAAATATGCAAATTTGTTGTGTAAATCAAAATTCATAGCTAAATCTAAATCAAGATACGCGTATTCAAGTTACAATTTTACATATGCATGGCGCGCATCTTGTTCGCTTATAAATATTGTTATGCTGTCTAAAACGAAATAAAATTTACATATCACATTAAATTTACCTTATTGCACTTCAGAATAAAGACCTCCGCGCCAATACTTCTATTCAAACCGTCAAACTGTAGTTCGCCGCTTAGCAACTGCTCACTGAATGGAACTCTCCGATATTTAGCGTTGATTTTCCTCCCAAGATCAACGCAACAGTCTTGTAAGACGGCTAAATCATTCACCGCAAATGCGGATTGAACCGTTTCGTGAATACTACAAGGACTGGAGTTTGGAGCAGCAGACATTTCCGAATTTTCCGTAGTTATCTTTAAATTGAATCTTTCGACAAAGCTCCAACATGACACTTCGAATGAGCGCGCGCTCGGAAAGACTTTACCACGCGTCAAATATTAATGATATTCCGACTAATGGGGCGCCCCTGACTTTTGTAAATCGGTCAGAACTCCCCACAGATCAGTCAAAATCGCAAAATATCGCTTGTTTCCATGGCAATAAGCGTCTAGACCAATCAGAACACTGGATTTTGACTGACCGACTTTGCGTATGTCAGCTGCTCATTGACTTGACTAAGCTCGTCGGTTCAACCACTGTTTGAAATTTGATCACTGGACTACAGTTCGATTGGAATGTTAATTGCTAGCGCTGCATGATAATAGATTCTGGACTAATATAAGGTGTCGCTGCATGATAAAAAATAACTGGACTATTGGTCGAATATTTAAGACTTTAATTAAGTTTGCGATTTTTACGTTAGTCGCGTGACTGGTTTGACGACCCCTAGATCCGCCCCTGACTGACAAGAGATGACTTGTGACTTGACTTGCAAATGCAGTGAATGATTTGTGACTAATTGACTCGGACGAAATGACTTGTAATATACAATTACTCATAGTTAGTAGAAAATAAACATGGTTTGGAAGCTTGAAAAAAGTCATTGTTCTATGTTTTTGTCCAAGTTTATGGAAATTTGTGCACTCGGATTCTGTATAATGAGGCGATTACCCAATAAAAACCTTCGTTTTAATCGCTGAACCGTACTAATATTTGAATATTAATAAACGCAAGACAAAAGATGTGTGCACTTGGAATTACATTTCCACATCAGTTGAAGTTTGAATAGGAAATTCTTTGAAGTTTACCGGCCTTCCTAACCATGTTTATTTCTATTAACTATGAATTACTTTATGGTTTCCGTGTTTGGATGGCCTGATCCAAACACGGAAACCATGTTGCGAGAGTTAAGAAAAGCGCACGAAACACGAGCCAAAGGCGTGTGATTTTGCTCGCTTTTCTGAACTCGAGCAACATTCCCAAGTGTTTGGATCAGGCCATCCAAACACGGAAACCATGTTGCGAGAGTTAAGAAAAGCGCACGAAACACGAGCCAAAGGCGTGTGATTTTGCTCGCTTTTCTGAACTCGAGCAACATTCCCAAGTGTTTGGATCAGGCCATCCAAACACGGAAACCATAAAGTAATTGTTTCATAAAAAAACCGCTCTCCGTGTTAAAATTTCACTTTAAAAAACTTTTACTTTAAATTTCCGTGTTTGGATGGCCTGATCCAAACACGGGTTTCGACCAATCAGAGCACGCGTTATATACATGTTATTTTATAATTTGACTTGCAATATATAAGACTTGTTAACAACTCTGACTCAGGGAACAAGCAGTGTGAACACATCCTGACATTGGTTTGACAACAACTTTTTTGCAAATCTGTAACAACTTGCGCATTTTACTATGTGTACCCACCAGCCATAGCCAGATTTCATTTAAAGCTTTAATAATAATCCACCTTAAGTAAAAAAATACAGTGGACTTACAAATTCATAAACATAAAACCATCTATATTACAATAAAAATGTATATTTTTAAAAAGGTTCAGTTGCCAAAGGCACAGACGACGATTATGTCCTTCAGTTCAGAGAATAATGCAACCTACATTCAGCCTAAAATTACAGAACCATCTATTACAGTAGTAATTTAAAGTTTATTATTAAAAAGTTTAATTTCACGAGGCATAAACGATGATTTATGTCTTTCGGTTCTGGAAATAATGCGACCTACATTAGAACCTCTTTCTTTAGTTCTAGTGGAATAGTCATGCTTCTGCGCGATAGGGACAAGGTGGTGACAGGGATGGTCTACGTCCTGAGTAATTGCCTCCATTTCTCGAAGAGTTAGCGTATCTCTTCTCTCACTAAGCGGGGGAAGTGTATCGATCGGTAAACCAATAATACGTAGGTAATTTGTGGAACCAATCAATAGTCATGACTAACATGCATGGGTTCCCACAAACAAATGTCATGAAACCAAAAAGGTGTTTCTTATAAAATCTGATATCATACTCCCAGTGACATAATGCTTTTATCCTTTCTAGACCTATGGATGTCCTTGGCATGGATCATGACCGCCTGACCATCATGTGTGTATTTGGAGCTGCTACTGGATCAATCCTTAATCTGATTGAAGTGGAACGGAGTCATTGGGAAACTGGTATAGATGGTTTTCTCACATTTGATTTTGAGTCAAACGGAATCACACTGTTGCTGCAGATAACTCGTGAAAAGTGTTTTAATTTGTTTTATTATCACAGAGCTAGTGTCTGCGACTACTGTCACAACAAAACAATTTTTGTGGCTAGCCCCCCCCTGGGGCTAGCCACTATGATACGGGATGAGCGGTGGTGGTCGGTCAACGATGTCTGTCCGGATTGTCGTGAAATTATCGTGAGCGGAAGTGAGACCCACAGTATGGCGATCGTTTGTTTGGTGGTTTCGGTTATCATCGGAAATTTGGCGGAAGTGATGAGGCCCGACAGTTTGACGATCGGTTATTTCGGTTTTCATCGGAAATTTTTGAACTTCATGCCTGATAAACATTTCATGCAAACAAATATTTTCGTTTTGAGGTCATTTCGACAGCTGTTGTTTAATTAATTACAAAAATACGAAAATTTTGCGAACGATAAGAGAAGTTCTACAAAAGGTAAGTTAGGAGAAATCAAGGAGATTTTGATCACGCTTGATATAAAGCTTTATATAGTGAGTTTATAATCCTGTTTTATAATCAAACGTTCTTGCACAGATCTTGAATTTTTATCCATTATGTGGGTAAATTTATAAGAAGCAAGCCCATTGTTTACATATTTTACAACGATAAATACAACGATACTAAAACTGCCCTATCCACTTGCAGGTATAAAACTACAATTAACACAGAAAACAGGCGGGACTATTTTATGAATTTATGCTAATATCCTCTATTGGGCTATTCCATTTAATATCCGTACCCCCCCTGTCGAGGATCCCTGGAATTCTTCAGGGGTAAAGGGTTTTGAGCTTGGAATTCTTCAGGGGTAAAGTGTTTTGAGCTTGGAATTCTTCAGGGGTAAAGTGTTTTGAGCTTGGAATTCTTCAGGGGTAAAGGGTTTTGAGCTTGGAATTCTTCAGGGGGAAAGGGTTTTGAGCTTGGAATTCTTCAGGGGTAAAGAGGTTTGACTTTGATATTTTTCAGAGCTTGGAATTCTTCAGGGCTGAAGGGTTTTGAGCTTGGAATTCTTCAGGGGTAAAAGGTTTTGAGCTTGGAATTCTTCAGGGGTAAAAAATTTTAAGCTTGGAATTCTTCAGGGGTAAAGGGTTTTGAGCTTGGAATTCTTCAGGGTTAAAGGATTTTGAGCTTGGAATTTTGGAATTCTTCAGGGGTAAATAGTTTTGAGCTTGGAATTCTTCAGGGGCAAAGGATTTTGAGCTTGGAATTTTGGAATTCTTCAGGGGTAAAGGGTTTTGAGCTTGGAATTCTTCAGGGGTATAACCACGAAAAACATGTATCCTCGACAGGGGGTGTACGGATATTAAATGGAATAGCCCAATTATATCTTACATCTAATCTTATGAAAAGTATATTTTAATATACTTAACAGTGCGACTTTGATAGTTGACACATAATATAAATGATAAAATGTGAATATTATTGAATGATTTTGTCACTCGTACAACTTTTAATTTGGCTATTCAAACAATTGATTTAAAATAGTTGAATTTATACTTACTGGGATGTTATTGCTTATTGGGATGTTGAAATTATGTTTGTTTTAAATACATTTAATTGATATTCCATAAATTCATTTTGTATGATTTCATTGACCTTGATGTTGTTCAAAATCATTTTGTATTGTATTGAAACTGTATGTCTATGACCTATGTTATGTACTATATTAACCCATTGAGTCGCATTGCACCCTGATGCACCCTACTTTGAACAGTATTTTACTCTGTCTAACGCCTGACGATTTTACTCGTCAAGGAGAGAGTGCTGGCGCTTAATGGGTTAACTGATCTATCTGCCGATGTGTCTAGTTAACCCATTGGGTCGCATTGCACCCTGATGCACCCTACTTTGAACAGTATTTTACTCTGTCTAACGCCAGACATTTTACTCGTCAACGGGAGAGTGCTGGTGCTTAATAGGTTAACTGATCTATCTGCCCATGTGTCTAGTTAACCCATTGGGTCGCATTGCACCCTGATGCACCCTACTTTAGTATTTTACTCTGTCTAACGCCGGAGTATTTTACTCTGTCTAACGCCAGACGATTTT